ACCGAAGTTGGCTCAGTGCTACAGGGCGCGTCCATCAACCAACACCCATCCGTACGCCATGACCTGAACCCATCGACCGCGGCATCCCAGAAGCAGCCCGTCACCCTCAATGAACACCCAGATCCCGATAGCTCGGAAGTCGGCGAAGATGAAATACCAGTCAGCGTATTGGATCCGGTACCGCGCCAGAAGACGATGCCCCCGCTACCAGACCTTCGATTCGAACAAAGCTACCTAAAGAGCATCGAGCAAGCAGAGGGATGGCAGGGCGTAGCATGGATTACATTACGAGATCAGGTACAAGGAGATAAGAATGAAGCATATGGGAAATCTCGCTAATCAGCGGCATAGGTCATCATGTGCTTTGCGCAAGGCGTGCTATGGACTCTCCTACTCAACGGCTGGCGGCATTGGAACCGATCGACCAAGTTTAGTGGACACGGCGTCGGCGCGCGGATACGGAGATGGTGGTGGGGAGTCAACAACTGGACGATACCGAATGCAAAGTCCAAGTTGAGGGATACCAAATTGGCGAAGAACGTGACGGAGGTAAGTGTGGCCTTCTTGAAAGTCCGGCGCCGAACATGTGTTTGAAGTGTGGGATTAACGCTAACGATCTTTTAGTATTACGAAGGAGAGTTCTCAAGCGCTGCTCAAGATTGAATGCGATGATTCGTAGCTCTCTCCCTATTCAGCTATACCTGCACCTAAATGTCATAGGCTTGAGCAGGCCCTTTGGGCGTGACGAAAACACTCCAATGACCAAACCAGACCAATTGGTGTTACTCGCATTGCTAACTCTGTCTTAATAGTGCACCTCAGACTCCTTAGTTCCGCGGGTGGCGTCCATCGGGTACCAAATGCGGATTGCGGCACGGGCGCCCCTCCAATCCGACGTATCCACCCTCGCTCTCATCTCATCCTTGGAAATCTTCCTCGCGCCTCTCCCTACTTTCTATTACTCCAAACAGCAATACTTGCCATCTCAATCTAACAATCTCTCCACTCCGTCGTATCGCTAGTGCCGGATTTGAAGTAGAACCATGCCGGTGTATCTCATCCTATCCAGAGGATTGCCCCGCAATCGCAACTTGCGGTTCAATACCGTAATAAACATCAGTCGCACCCGCTTGGTATCATCTACATCGAACTCAAGGGGCCAAGTTCCACTTTCCCAAAAACCTACTACCGTCGGCAAAAGTCCGAAAGCCAAATCCTTGTTGTCAGCCTCACCAAAGTCGTCGCAGGCCAACCAGAAAGTTCACGATTCCATTTCAAAACGACCGGCTGGTACCACCATAGGCCCCCGTGTTGGTCTGAGTAACCATAAAGTGGTCTCTACTGCCTCCCTGCGCTCCCGTCCAACCGACTCTCAATTATCGAACCTTCCACAACCGTCACCACCGTCACCACCGCCACAACCGCCACAACCGCCACAATCTCAGCGAGGACAAACGGCTCCCTCAAGAACATACCGACGTGGTAACCTTCAAATTTCTCCATCCTATTGCATCTCTCCTGGCGACTCACAGACTTTCACGCTCCCTGACAGACGTCAACTTGGGTATGCGATATATGGCAGCAGACATCCGAAAGCAGCCGTCATTGTCGCATTCCATGGTACTCCTGGTTCGCGTCTGGACTATCGCATGTGGCACGATTGGGCGTTGAAAAATGGCGTCACCCTCGTTTGTCCAGAAAGGCCAGGTTATGGCTTATCTACAATCGACAAGAATTACGTGGTAACAAGACACGCCTATGATGTTCAAAGGTTGATGGATCATGTTGGATATGAACAATATAAAGTCATTGGTGCTAGGGGTGGCGGCCCATATGCTCTTGCTCTCACTCACATTTGCACCAAAGTGCAAGTTCAGGGCACCCTGCTCATGGCCCCCATAGCTCCAATTGATGCACCGAGAACTGGCGTGCCGATGAACAGAGCTGGCGTGCCGATGAGTAGGTATCTATGGAGATTACTCACTATCTTCCCGTTTCTTATGGAGCTCAGAGTCTCCTTTGTAAGTAGGAAATTCTTGAAAAACCTGGCGGCCATAAATCCGCCCACCGAAGAGTTACGCAAGACCGAACAAGGGCACAAAATCATCGAGGGGCATGCAAGACACGGTACTCCTGCAGCCTATGTCCATGATCATTGCGCGCAGCATCGCTATTGGGGATGCGAGCTTAGGGACATAGATGCTAACCGAATCGTTATAATTGCTGGAGGCATGGACGTACAAAACCCTCCGGATGGCATGCGATACATGCGCGATCGACTACAAAACACTGAGCTCTTCATACATCCAAACGACAACCACTTCACTTTACAAGCGAACCACATGCGTCGTGCGTTGCAGATTCTACGCAATATGTAATGATTACATACAGTCAATTCAAATACTCGCTTTTTCCGCTATTGACCCGAACCATTGACTTCGCGGATTCCTCATCACAAACGAGAAGATGAAAATATCGATATCAATCTCAAGCAGCGCGTGATTGAGAACGAAGTATGCATGGCTTAGGTACATTGTCTTAATGCACTGTTGACAGACTTGCCTAACGAGCCAACCGCCTTACTCTACGATCTTGAAAGTCGCTACTTTGTCTTCGTCTTGCGCGATCATCTTCAACAGCCCTGGCGGTTCTCCGAAAACCCACCCTTCCTCCCTCATCTTCTTAATATCCGGCTTCTCTTCTCCTTCCACGGCGCTTCTCGAAGACAAGCTGTTCACGTTGTGCAAATCAATAAGATCTCGCATCTTACTAACAACCTCTTCGCTTTCATCTGCTCCCTTTTCCCTATCCAACCCCAGATCGTCAGAAAAGCTGAAGCGCGAGATTTTCTTGCCTTTCAAGCCTTCCGGGTCTTCCAAGGAGCCAAATGACCACCATCGAATCGAAAGATCGCCGGGCCAGACATGGTAGGTGTCGCCGACTCGTAGAAAACGTTCAAGCTTTTCTTGGAGCGAGGTTGAGTCGTCGCCGAGACTCGACATAAGCCGTTCAGCAGAGAGCTCCCACGCAACTTGTACAGAACCTTTTCCCACCGGAGGAATTGTGATGAAAGTGAATCCAGGGGTATCGGGATCCTCAGGGCGTTTGGCAAGATCTGGGTCGCCTGATATCCGGTGGAACGTAATGCGCTTTGTGGGCCGGAGGTTAAGCACTTTTGCAGAGCCATCTACTTGGAGGGTGGAGGAAATTGCGAGTTCCGGTGAGTGCATAGCGCCCTTGCGGAACGCATCCTCACGAGGCGTAGTGTCGAGACATGAGTACTTGGTCAAGATAGTAACGGGTCTATCTGGGAAGACCGAGGAGGTTTGGTGGATAGTGGCGATCAGCTTCAAAGGTGATGCCGAGGGGTTAGAGATTGAGAGAGTGGCTGGTGGACAGAAGTTGAACTTAAGGCAGAGCTCAACTCCGTGGTTTTGAGACGACATTTGAAACTATTCGATATGGTGTTGTAGTAGGAGACGGAGAATGCACTGTCGTGGGTTGCAAAAATTGAAGACTGCAGAGGGCAAGGTTGAGAAGCTGAGGGTCGGGGGCCGTATTCTCTGACCTTTATCCGCGTGCAGTATAAAGGAATATGTCAAAAATAGGCCCCTCGATCACTTGGCTCAACCTGCCGGCGATGAATTGGGTCCGAGACTGGTGCTTAGCATGACGTCACAGGTCTTACACCAACCTGACTGTTCCAACGTTGGATCGCGGGTGCCTAGCATGACGTCACATGTATTACACCAACCTAACTGTTGCATCGCGGAGGCTTAACCCCGCCCCCACATCTTTACACCCCGACTCTGCTTTATTTTTGTACTCTTTCGGGATTCTACAATTTCAGTTTCTCGATCTCGATCACATGCCCATCTTCAGATGCGCAACAAGCACCGAACAACGACTCAACCATCGCAAGGTCTTAAGAATTCATCTGCTTAGGTTAAAACATCCACGAAGCATAGCCTGGAGCCTCAAAAAGACTTCGAACATCTCAGTTGCCCCTCAATCTGGTCTACGAACTGCGAGGGGGCAGGTACACACGTGTAACTGCCATAAGCTGATTCAACTAGGTACAGTGTTCTCAAGGGCTGAGATGCTCCGACGATCCGTCATCCTGTTCCTTGCGAAATGGCCTACATCTTCATCCTGTATGCCTCTTACGATCAGAATGTCACAAATGTGGTATGCTTTCGTCTTCGTAGGATCGTTATGAAACATGAGATCGAATCCCGTCATCGATGCGACCTACCATACCTTGATCTTTACTGGAGGCCTGGAAAAACTTACTGTAAGGGATTGGCCTCGATTCGACTACCGTCAGCGCCAATTGTATCTTGTAAAGAATTGTTTCATCCTCTGTATAGATCTGGGTAGTGGTTCTGCTGCGCCGAGTGCGCCTTATGATCTTGTCAGCAGCTGACTGGACCCCAAGCATGGTGTTTCAAACAATCGCATTACCTCTCAAAATACCCATATTGCCCTTTCTTGACCCCATCTTGTCTTTCATTCACGTCACTTGCTTACATTTGACGCAAAACTTCGCCTCCACCACAGCCCTTATCCCTCCTTCGAAACCGCTCACTGGCGATGGAGACATAGCCACATCAGGCCATGATGTTGGACAAGTCTTGAAATAGACCAATCCAACGAGAGGGCTTCTCTAAGCCCCTAGCTACACTTCTACTGGAAGAAGATCATTCGGGTACTGTGAACTTGTATAAGAAGGCTACCACGAACACCATAGAGGTCTTTCAATAGCAGGAACTTCCAATCTCTCTTCTTTATCAACACTAGCACGTGCTATCCTTTTCAACTCCATAGCCTTTCAAACAGGCTACTACATCATGTACTTCACTCAAGTATCACTTGTTGTGCTCGCTGGAGCAACGATTGCTACTGCTGCACCCCTCGAAGCTCCTAAACATACCCTCTATGGGCGCACAGCGCAATACCACAGCAGTTGCGATAAGCCTGGCCCTGATGGCGGAGAAAAAATGAAAGAAAAGGCCCAAAGGGCCTTCACAGACGCATCGCAAATGGCATACCAGACACAGATCCGCCATGACAACAGTGGAAACGCTTTCACAGAGAGCTCTGCGTAAGTAAAATATCAGGAATCACTAGTTAAGAGTCCGAGTTCTGACTTTGTGAATAGGTACAAGCATTATTTCGCCGACGCGGACAAGGACCAAGTCAAGCGAATGATGCAGGTTATCTATAACAGCCGCCTTCCAGTGGATGACAACGACGGCGGTCAGGGCTACTTCATCGATGTTCGCTGTGGTAACAGTGAGGACCCTGACACATGCGGTGGATCCTCTCTGGCTGGCACGAACGCGAGGCCTGGTAAATCAGTTGTAAGTCAGCCCTTCTTAGAGGTATCAAATGCCATACCGATGTTAACCTCGCATTCAAGATGGTTCTCTGCGATCGCTTTTTCCGCAACTCCGAGCCACGCACCAAGAATGACTTCCAAACCAAGAAATTCGACGACAGTCGCAACGGCTGGTGCCAGCCTAACGAAAAATTCCCTTTCTTCGAAATCGCGGGTCTGACGATTTTCCACGAAATGACTCATCTGCACACCGTTGGCCAGAGGGCTAAACTCGAAGCCTTCCCCGACCCCGATGGCTACGACACCTCTGGCACGATCGATGTCTACGAGAAGGGTGGCGACGATGATCGGGCGAAGTACGAGGACATGGATCCCTGGGAAGCGGCCCGGAAGCTCAAGCAGCTTTGGGATGAGTACGATGCGGACAACTCAAACTACAAGCCCTTGTGGAGCCCGATTCACAACGCAGATAGTTATGCTGCCGCGGCATTGGAGTTTTCGTATCTGGAGCCCTGTAAATGGGATGTCATCTTGCCCAACTCAGTCTGAAAATCTTCTTTGATCACTTCTATTTTGGATACAGATTTTCCTACACCTTGTTTGGATATTATGATAGGCTTGGATGGCGTTCTTATGAGTACATGTATTAGACATTGGAATACAAGGCCAATACATTCTTCCGCAAACTAGCAAGTTGAGGTTTTTGAATGTTAGAGCACTCTATAGCCTCCCAAACGTGCACTGTGTTTATCGATAGGTTTAAACAGGTAGATTCAGCTTGTACTTAGCTAAGCCATACTTTGTGCCGCTTCAAGTACTAGCATTGGGGCTATGCAAGCATTCAAGAAGTAGTCCCCTGTGTTCAAATTGCGCAAGGTAACCATGAAGCTCGCACTTCGCGACCACTCAAGAGTTGGTCACACGCTACAATTACATCGACGAAGTTTTCAAGATTGAGAGACATGTGCGCCTTACAGACACGTTACGTCTATCGAAGAAGTTCACGGGTGCCTCAGCATACCCATGACCGCTAAGATTTGAGTGTTGGGCAATCACGTGATAGCGCGCCGTAATTTACCGAACTTGGGAAGGCGCGTCGCGCTTGCCACCATCAACACCATACACTTTCCTACCCCACGGCATGCCATCCCCCCAGCATCCGAACCCATGAAGCCTTTTCGGCCTCTCACCCTCGCCCGCCCTCGCTCAGAGACTGGCGAGCCATTGAAGAAGAAACCTAGAGTCTCGTCCAACGCGCTTTCCGCGGGCAGTCGCCAACCGCTCAACACGCTGAACGCCCCCGCACCAGCCCAATTCCTGCCCCCGGGTCTCGAAGGAAACTATTATACGGTCTTATGGCGGAAATATACAACTAAGAAGAACAAGACGTGGGATGGTGATGGCGTACTTGCCGTCACAGGCGGCTATGCCACGCTCACGGATAGCGAGACAGGAAAAGAATTGGGCAAAGGAGCATGCACTCGACCGCTGCTGCCAGGCTCGGCACTATCCATCGGCGGAAAGGAGCTGGAAGTTGAGGCGTCCATCGACAAGGCTGATTACCTCGCTGGGCGCATGTTCCTGGGGACGGCTGCAGCTGCGCCTGTAGATCAGTCGAAGCGCGAGGAACCAGGGTACAAGCCTCTTTCGTCGGCCAAGTCGAAAGCAAACAAGAGAAAAGATACTGGTGACGATGGTGTGGATCTGCCAGACTACAAACCCTCAGCTCAACGCAAGCAGCAGTTCAAGGCGCCTCTATTGTCAAATACCGTCATGCCTCAACGAAACCCATCGATCCCGCAACCACGCCACGATCCGAACGCGCCGAACGCCCTAGTCATGAAGCGACCGACGTCATGCCCGAAAGACAAGCAGATAGTCGACGTCGTCGTCGATCCGGTCCTCAGCAAGCATCTGCGCGAACATCAGCGTGAGGGCGTGCAGTTCCTATACGAATGTGTCATGGGCATGCGATGCGAGGGCGAAGGCGCGATCATGGCGGACGAGATGGGTCTGGGCAAGACATTGCAGACCATCACTCTGCTCTGGACACTGATGAAGCAGAACCCGATACACAATGCTTTGCCAGTCATCAAGAAAGCCCTCATCGTTTGCCCCGCTGGCCTGGTCGATAACTGGAAGCGAGAGTTCCGGAAATGGCTAGGCAATGAGAGAATTGGCGTCTACGTGCTAGATGCGAAGAACAAGAAGATTGCCAACTTCACAAAGGGCAAAGCCTACAACATCATGATCGTCGGATACGAGATGCTGCGTGTTATGCAAGAGGAAATGAAGCAAGGGACTGTCGACATCGTCATTGCAGATGAGGGCCACAGGCTGAAGACTGCTAACAACAAGGCCATGCAGGCGATCCAGTCTCTCAACACCGAGCGGCGAATCATCTTATCGGGCACGCCACTGCAGAACGACCTGGGCGAGTTCTTCACTGCCATTGACTTCGTCAACCCTGGCCTACTGGGGCAACGATCAGCCTTCAAGCGTTCCTTCGAAGTGCCCATCGTGCGCAGCCGTCAGCCAGATGCAAGTGAAGCAGAGCTCGAAAAGGGCGAGGCACGATGGAAGGAGCTCGTATCCCTCACCAGTCAATTCATGATTCGCCGTACAGCAGAAGTGCTTGCAAAGTACCTCCCACCGAAGACTGAGCACATTGTCTTCTGCAGGCCAACCAAAGGACAAGCAGAGGCTTATCGCGCCATACTGGGCTCACCAACGTTCAGAATAGCGTTGGGAAGTACAGACATTGCGCTACAGCTCATCAATGTGCTGAAGAAAGTCTGCAACAGCCCTTCGTTGCTCAAATCATCGAAAGATAACGACGATACGCCATCGGAGATGCTGCAATCGCTTCTCCCACTGATACCACCCAAGATCCTCAGCTCAAGTGCTTCGAGTGCGAAGCTGCGACTGCTCGACAGCCTTGTTCATCGGATCTATACCACCACTGAGGAGAAGATCGTCATTGTTTCGAATTACACCACCACACTGGACATGATCGAGCGACTCTTGGTGTCATTGTCATACACCTACCTCCGTCTCGATGGCAGCACACCAGCCACCAAACGCCAAGCACTTGTGGAGAAGTTCAACAAGACTCCAAAGACTACATCGTTCGCCTTCCTACTGTCTGCGAAATCTGGCGGCGTCGGTCTCAATCTCATTGGTGCATCACGCATCGTGCTTTTCGACATCGACTGGAACCCCGCTACCGATCTGCAAGCTATGGCACGTATCCACCGCGACGGCCAGAAACTGCCATGCAAAGTATACAGATTTCTCATCCAAGGTGGCCTAGACGAGAAGATCTACCAGCGTCAAGTCATGAAAATGGGTCTTGCAAACGCCGTCGTAGACAACAAAGCCTCCGCCTCCTCCTTCTCCCAAGAAGAACTCCGCGATCTCTTCCGTCTCGACGAGCGTGAAGGTTGCCAGACCCACGACATACTCGGCTGCACATGCGATTGCAAGGGCTCACCAGAAGTCAAAATCGAGGCGGCGGAAGAAGAAGAAGACGATGAGGCCAACAAAGACGACATCGAAGACTCGGACGAAGACCCCTACCCCACCCTTACGAAAGCAAGTGAAGTCAACATTGAAGAACAAGAAGCGAAGATCAAGGCTAGACGCGCGGCGAAACAGCCCAAACTGAGGATGTTAATGGAGTATCGTCATATTGATACTAAGATCCTTAAGGGAATGAAGAAGAGCGATGGAGAGGAGAATGAAGAGGATGGGGTTGTGGATAATATGGCGGCGGCAATTGATGATGATGTGTTTCTTGATGTGCTGAAGGAACAGGAGTGTAATGTCGGTTTCTTGCTGACGAAGTCGACGTCTTGAGTGGAGTTTTCATGGAGCATGAAGAGGAAAGGGGTCAAGTGTTTCAATAGAGCGTATATGCATAGCGACGGAGTTTTGGGCATGGTAGCATGGCTGGGTGACCTAGTGGCCCTAGTCTCGGAAGAGTTTCGCGTTATAACGCATACAGGCTGTGCCTTCAGTTAGCGAAATTCATTCCAGTCTTGTACACGAGAGAATGGCTCTCATCCGGTGCGTGCCTCTCGACCATGACACATTGTATCCAAACATGAAAGAATAGATGCAAGATCTACAGTCGTCACGAAAAATCCCATGAGATCAAAGTTGTAAACAGCAAGACGATAATATTTACTATGCAGAAAATAAAAGCACTAGGCTATTAGCCCACAAAGGCACCGCCATCTATCTCAGCGATGCTATGGTATCTCTCCGACTGACACTCTCGCCAATCCCTTCCTATCCAAGCCAAGCCATCCACGGCTTAAACACCAGCCTGCTGCGCGAAACCCAGTCTAGGACCCGAGCTACCCATCTCATGAACAATGTACTTGCTCTTAAGGAAGATGTCACCAAAGATGCTGAAGCCAATACCGTCATCAGTCTGGATACCACCAAAGCAAGCACCAGTACCATCATCAAGAGGAGCATAGTTGACGTATTTACCCGGAACAGTCTGCTTGACGCCACCAACAGTGATGGAGAAATCAGGGAGGGTAGCAGTGCAAGGGAAGATGTAACCGCCCTGAGTAGCATCGTTCTTTGCGCCGGAGACCTTGGCGTAGTAGGCCTTGACGATAGCGGGGTCGGTGTAGATGAGGGTTGTGCCGGTGTCGAGGATACCGGAGACGGTCTTGGTGGTGGTGGTGGTGCCGACGCTGTAGGCGGAGGCGCTGAAGCCCCAGAAACCTTGGCTGTCGTCGGCGGCGACGTAGGTGATGGGGCCCGTGTACTTGCTCTTGTCGATGTAGCCGAAGTCGTAGGTGCCGGCGGCGTGGTACTTGAGTTGGACGGCGAAGAGGGGCGACGCGAGCTGCGACTTGACGGTGTCGAAGAAGGTGTTTTGTTGCTGGGGTTGCACCGTGTTGATGGTGGACATGGCCAGGCCGAGCAGACCGTCCGTGTCGACGTCTTGTGAGAATTGCGCGGAGACGGAGGTGGCAGCCTCGACGGCTTGAGAGGTGGCTGTTACGCCACCGACGGTGACCTTGTCGGCGTAGACCTTGCCGGAGGCACCTGAGCCATCGCCGTAGGAGATCTTCCAGGAGTAGCCGCTCTTGACCTTGGAGGCATCGACCTTGTAGTAGTCGTGGCCGGCGGTCTGGGAGCTGGCTTGGAGAGACGAGAAGACCCACCTGTGGTTACATTAGATGTGGGTCTTATATGAGGATAGGCACTTCGCCCCATCGTGACTTACAAGTCAGCACTTCCGGTGTCGAAGTCAAGGTGGACAGTGGTGCTGCCAATGGTGACCGGGCTCAGGTATGCCGAGTCATATGCGTCATTGGGAGCGGCAGGCACTGATCCACTGGCAGCAGCAGCGGCGACAACAGTGTTGCTGGCCCTGTTTTGTGCAGCCTCAACAAGGCTTTGAGGAACAGCCTTGCCGTGCTTGCGGAGAGCCTTGATCTTTTGCTCGGGTCCGTTCTTCAGGTAGGTAGAGCGAGGAACTTGCTCAACCGAGAAGGAGTTTCCCTTGTCTGTAATCACGTGTT